ATCTGGTCTATGGCTCCGCCGCCAACCAAGATTCGGCTGCGGAGGGTAGGGAGAGCGGCGCCTCGCAATACCGACACTCCTCTCCCCCCGCAGCCCCACCACCACCGCATCATTAACGGTGCAGCCCCGTCAGAGTCGCGGAGGATAGGGCGAGTGGCGCATCGCCATACCAACACTCCTCTTCCTCCGCGACTCCACCTCGGCTGCAGCGTTAGAGGGTGCGGACTCCCCTCTCTCCGCAGCCCCCCGATACACATCCGAAGTGGGCTCGCCAAACCCACTCGGAGTGGCCACCTCGGGCCGGCCCTACACCACGGGCCAGGCAAGGGGTTCCTCTTTGTTCACCGTGGGTGACCAAGCCACGGCTACTAAGCCCCCCCGCCACGACAAGGCGGGAACCCGTTCGGGGGGGATGTATTGCTGAGCCTAGTGCGACCTGTATAGATAACATTTTTACAGATGTTAAGCCCTTGCATAAATCAATTATTCAAAATTTAAGTTCAGATCACTGTGGACAGTTAGTATCACTACCTTACATACACAAAAAAACAGAAAAATAAGAAAGTTGTGTTTGTTCCAATAAATGAACATCGCTTGGAGAGGTTTAGAAGTAATATAATAAAAAGTCTTCCATCACTTTCGTTTAAAAATAGTGCTAAATATTTGTATGCTACATTATTTAAAATTATAAGTTGTGAATTTAATAGAATATTTACTTCTAAAACTTTCTCTTTTAACAGTCGCAAATCATTTAATGAATGGGCGACAGTAGGAATTTATAAAAGTAGGCGAAGGTTATACGAGCTTTATGATGAAAGATCATATAATAGTAGTGTTATATATGGAGATTATGTAAAAACATATTCTAAAATATTTAAAAAAGTGTGCTCCACTACTAAGGCCCATTAAAGCCCATTTAAGCAACAAAATTAAAACTGCATCCGACAAAATTAAAATGACCTGGAGAATAATAAATAGTGAAACGGGCAAGGTCAAACCGCGCAACTCGGATTTTCAATTGAATATTTACAATAATTTAACGCGATCTGATCAAGAAGTTGCTATGGCTTTTGAGAAACATTTTACTGATGTTCCTTTTTTGACAACAAAATCATTAAATTCTTCTCCTACTGTCGCCGAATCATTGCTCAAACAAAATTTAAAGGCTTGTTCAAATACTTTTAAATTCCATAGAGTACTGCCAAAAGATATCGTTAAATATTATAAAACTATTGATGTTAAGAAAACGGCAGACTTATGGGGGATTTCAGTTAAAGTTATTTAATCTATAATAGATATATTAGCACCTTATCTAGCCACTATATTTAATATAAGCGTCGAATCTGGTGTGTTTCCTGATTTAATTAAACATAGTAAAGTCATACCTGTATTTAAATCTGGTAGTACATTAGACCCTGCCAATTTTAGACCAATTTCTGTACTACCAACATTAAGTAAAATTTTTGAAAAAATTATTTTAGATCAGATGTTAAGTTTCTATAATATTAATAAATTGCTACATAAAAATTAATTCGGTTTTACAAAGGGTCGCTCGACAACTGACGCTGGAGTTGAGCTTATTAAACATATTTTTGTGCATGGGAGAATTCAGAGGATGCTTTGGGTATATTTTGTGACCTTTCCAAGGCCTTCGACTGTGTTCACCATGAGACATTAATCAGGAAGCTACAGTACTATGGTGTCAAGAACCCAGCGCTTAAACTTATTATTTCATATTTAAGTAATAGAAAACAGAAGGTTATTATCAATGGTAAAAGTTCTTCCGGGTCACCTGTACTAATGGGTGTTCCTCAGGGCTCGATTCTCGGCTCATTACTGTTTCTGGTGTATATTAATGACTTACCTCACCTTGTAGGGGATAGTCATGATATAGTATTATTTGCTGATGATACTTCCTTGATTTTTAAACTTAAACTTCAATCATTTAAATGTGACGAAGTGAATAATGCTATATCAAAATTAGTGCATTGGTTTAACGTTAATAATCTGCATTTGAACGGAAATAAAACTAATTGTGTTAAATTTACAACAACGAATGTTAAAAATCTGAATACCAATGTGTTTTTAAATGGGGAGGAATTGAGCCCTGTTGTATCCACTGTTTTTCTTGGCATCACTCTTGACGCAAAGCTCCAGTGGGGCCTATGCTGTAAAAAAGATTAGAGGTCTCACTAGTGTCCAGACAGCTAGATTAGTTTATTTTAGTTATTTCCATAGCATAATGTCTTATGGGATTTTGCTATGGGAAAATGCGGCTGATTCAGAAACTATTTTTGTTTTACAGAAGAGGGCCATTAGAGCTATTTACAATCTAAAACCGAGAGAGTCTCTTAGAGATAAATTTAAAGAAATTAATATATTAACTTTGGCCTCTCAGTATATTTACGAAAATTTAATGTATGTTCACAAAAACAAAGATAGTTTTAGTAAAAAAGTGATATACATTCTGTAAACACTAGGAACAAACACAAGCTAGTGATGCCAGTTTCTCGACTCCACAGAGTCAGTAATTCATTCTTGGTGCAATGTATACGCTATTACAACAAGGTCCCGGAAAGTGTACAGGTTGTCTCTATTACCAAGTTTAAATGTTTTATTAAGCTGAAACTGTATAAAAAGGATTATTATAGTATAAATGAATAAATGGTTGATAATAACCCCTGGGAATGAGGTGGTCGCTTCCAAGCAGTTTTTAAAATAAATTTTGTAAATAGTTCGTAATCATTTATATTGTAAAATTTATTTTAAAAAAAGTCCCGCTGGGTTTCTTGCTGGTTCTTCCCAGGACAGAGGGTCTTTTTTCGAACCAGTAGTAAAGTAAAAAATGACTTTCAATAAGAATTACACTTGTAATGTATATTGAATAAAAAATATTCTATTCTATTCTATTCTATATATATATATATATATATATATATATATATATATATATATATATATATATATATATATATATATATATATATACTAGCTGACCAGGCATACGTTGTTCTGCCCTTTCCGACGACCCTGTATCTTATAAAAATTCTTAAATTCGTAATAAAAAATATTGAGGGTCAATTATAAGGATAAAAATTATCTCTCAAGTTCACCAAACTTCACACAGTGTGCAAAATTTCATTGCAATCAGTTTAGTAGTTTAGATGTTTATCGCGGGCAAACAATGTGACACGTAATTTTTATATATAAAAATATATAGAATGCTATTTCTTTTCTCCCACGTATTATGATCAGTATATTACAATAAACTAAGTAACAATTAACTAAGCAACCAAATAACAGCTATAAAAACTAAGGCCTAAGGTAAAACGCAACAACACCAGAAATAAGGATATATTAAATATATGGTGGTGCCAGGTACAACTCTCTTACAACCTTTCATCATATTATGCACGAACTGTTCTATTTGAAACTAAAGACTAATAGAAATACGGTGAGATTTATGTCGTTTTATTTTCTTACACTATAAATTCCACACTATTTTTATATATTAATAAGATAAAGCAGTACTTCCATTATAAACATTTGTGATTCCTCGAATCTATCCATTATGCGTACAACGATCCTTATTTAATTTGTATCCTTAAACCACTTCTATAAAGCAAACGAACCGATCATTCTGAATCAAAACTTGAAACGGTGCCAAATTATATCAAATAAGGACAATACTAAAGTCAAAAAGGCGCAATTTATAAAGAATTTACTCATGGACATTTTCCGTATGCTATTTTCCTGGCGCCAAAAAAATTGGAAGAGTTAAACTCAACTGTACACTAACTAATTAATTAATAAAATTAATATTAATAAAACTAATTCTAATAAAAAGATACATACAATTCACGTCGCTAAAGCATCTTCATCACATTAATAAATCACATATATAAAAAGCGGCTAAGCGCAAGAACGCGAGTACATCAACATCATCGTCATTATATCCCTTCACAAGTCCACTGCTGTACATAGGCCTCCCCCAAGGAATGCCACAAATCACGGTCCTGAGCCACCAGCAGACTTTTAATGTTCATGATGATGATGATACCATAACATTGATTTTTAAAAACCAGTCGCAGTAATTTAATTTTCATCGTTTTTTTTTTTTTCTGAAAATACTTAATTTCAACTACGAGCCCCTAAAACAACCTGCGACTATAAAGTTGGTGGGGATTATAAACTATAGAATATAACCACGATTTCACGAGTAAATTGAAGGTGATCGAAGAACAGTGCTGCGTGCTACGATCGTATGTGCGCAACTGCCTGAGGAAGGGATAAGCTGGTTGTACGTGAAGCGGTTGTCCGAGAGCGCTTCTTACTTGATTTATTTCTAATATGACGATATAAAAGAAACAAATAACGAACATAATATATATATATATATATATATGTGGGAGAAAGTTTATTTTTAATCTGTGTTTATGTATTTTTTGAAGTCATGTCATGACAGGCGGAGGTAGTCTGTGGTTACCAGGAAAAACATTGTAAAAGAGCTAAGCAGTTTTATTAAAGATTTTGTGTTTAATTCGACCATTCTTTTCTTCGACGATCCCACAACTATTTTGGGGGCTCGTCCGGGATCCAGAGAAGTATCAGTGTGGAAGAATTAACAACATTTACGAAGAAATCATCAGCAAAATACCGGCGAGTTATTGTGAGAAGTGAACTGTTTTACCAACGCTAACCAAGATGGCGCGCGGGAAGTTTTGAAAACGAGTTGCATCGAATGCTTCGGGACGTTGCTACCATCGCACTACATTACCGACTACGCGTGAGCGTAATGCTGCGGGACGTTGTTCGTGACGTCAATATATTTTTTATTTTTTACGAAATGTAAAGAAGATAAAGATGAGTTTCACGACTGGATTTACGATTTACGGATTTTACGATTGAAGATTATTGTTACAAAAATAATGATTTAAAGAAGATTTTACGACTATTGAAGACTTGTGAAGATTTTTATATTTGAAGAATAACATTTCAAGATGCCGCCGAAAAAAGATATTAAAGATGGAGAAGAACGAGAATCACGTGACACCACATCCTATATCTCGTTTGCAGATGTGGAGAAGTCGATGACGTCATTTAGTGGTGATGATTCTTACCCGATTTCAACATGGTTTGAAGAATTTGAGGACACGGCACTGTTGATGAGCTGGACTGAAGTAGAAAAACTGATTTACGCGAAAAGACTCCTAAGTGGAACTGCAAAACTATTTCTACGATCGCTCGGAGGTGTAAAAGATTATAAAAAATTAAAACAAGAACTCGAAGATGAATTTGGATCTAAATTGAATAGTGCCGCCATACATAAAAAACTAAGCTCAAGAAAAATGAAGAAAGATGAAACTTACCAGCAGTATTTTCTCCATATGAAAGAATGTGCATTACATGGAAACATCGAAGATGCAGCACTTATGGAGTACGTTATTGATGGTATCCAAGACAGCGAATCTAATAAATCTATTTTGTACGGAGCGTCAAACCTTAAAGAATTTAGAAAGAAATTAGATATTTACAAAAGTATTAAAGAAAAGACCCAGACTCGACCCAGTGTATCTACTCCATTTGCAAAGAATAATAAAATAAAGCGATGTTTTAATTGCGGGGACCTAGATCATCAAGCCCCGACCTGCACGAAGGGTATTAAGTGCTTCCGATGCAATGAATTTGGGCATAAGGGAACTCAGTGTAATAATAAAGGTAAAAAGACTTTAAATATTCAAAAGACTGACACGAAAATTAAGACTGATAAAGAAGACAAAGAATTAGAAACTCCATATAAGAAGATAAAGATAAATGATGTCGAAATTACAGCATTAATTGACACTGGGAGTGACGTGAATTTGATAAAGTTATCTGAAGTTGAAAAAATTATGACAGAAAAAGTTATCTATGACAAAGAAAAATCAATACACCTAACTGGAATTGCTGGAAAAGAACTAAATACTAAAGGATTTCTGAAAGTTAAGGTTTTGATTGATGATTATTATGCTGACTTGGAATTTCACGTAGTACAAGATTATGCTTTACTTACTTTAGAGATTATGTAAAAACATATTCTAAAATATTTAAAAAAGTGTGCTCCACTGCTAAGGCTTTACATTTAAGCAACAAAATTAAAACTGCATCCGACAAAATTAAAATGACCTGGAGAATAATAAATAGTGAAACGGGCAAGGTCAAACCGCGCAACTCGGATTTTCAATTGAATATTAACAATAATTTAACGCGATCTGATCAAGAAGTTGCTATGGCTTTTGAGAAACATTTTACTGATGTTCCTTTTTTGACAACAAAATCATTAAATTCTTCTCCTACTGTCGCCGAATCATTGCTCAAACAAAATGTAAAGGCTTGTTCAAATACTTTTAAATTCCATAGGGTACTGCCAAAAGATATCGTTAAATATTTTAAAACTATCGATGTTAAGAAAACGGCAGACTTATGGGGGATTTCCGTTAAAGTTATTTTATCTATAATAGATACATTAGCACCTTATCTAGCCACTATATTTAATATAAGCGTCGAATCTGGTGTGTTTCCTGATTTAATGAAACATAGTAAAGTCATACCTATATTTAAATCTGGTAGTACATTAGACCCCGCCAATTTTAGACCAATTTCTGTACTACCAACATTAAGTAAAATTTTTGAAAAAATTATTTTAGATCAGATGTTAAGTTTCTTTAATATTAATAAATTGCTACATAATAATCAATTCGGTTTTACAAGGGGTCGCTCGACAACTGACGCTGGAGTTGAGCTTATTAAACATATTTTTTGTGCATGGGAGAAATCAGAGGATGCTTTGGGTATATTTTGTGACCTTTCCAAGGCCTTCGACTGTGTTCACCATGAGACATTAATCAGGAAGCTACAGTACTATGGTGTCAAGAACACAGCGCTTAAACTTATTATTTCATATTTAAGTAATAGAAAACAGAAGGTTATTATCAATGGTAAAAGTTCTTCCGGGTCACCTGTACTAATGGGTGTACCTCAGGGCTCGATTCTCGGCCCATTCCTGTTTCTGGTGTATATTAATGACTTACCTCACCTTGTAGGGGATAGTCATGATATAGTATTATTTGCTGATGATACTTCCTTGATTTTTAAACTTAAACGTCAATCATTTAAATGTGACGAAGTGAATAATGCTATATCAAAATTAGTGCATTGGTTTAACGTTAATAATCTGCATTTGAACGGAAATAAAACTAATTGTGTTAAATTTACAACAACGAATGTTCAAAATCTGAATACCAATGTGTTTTTAAATGGGGAGGAATTGAGCCCTGTTGTATCCACTGTTTTTCTTGGCATCACTCTTGACGCAAAGCTCCAGTGGGGCCCCCATATATCCAAATTAGCAAGCAGACTAAGTTCTGCAGCCTATGCTGTAAAAAAGATTAGAGTTCTCACTAGTGTCGAGACAGCTAGATTAGTTTATTTTAGTTATTTTCATAGCATAATGTCTTATGGGATTTTGCTATGGGGAAATGCGGCTGATTCAGAAACTATTTTTGTTTTACAGAAGTAGGCCATTAGAGCTATTTACATTCTAAAACCGAGAGAGTCTCTTAGAGATAAATTTAAAGAAATTAATATATTAACTTTGGCCTCTCAGTATATTTACGAAAATTTAATGTATGTTCACAAAAACAAAGATAGTTTTAGTAAAAGAAGTGATATACATTCTGTAAACACTAGGAACAAACACAAGCTAGTGATACCAGTTTCTCGACTCCACAGAGTCAGTAATTCATTCTTGGGGCAATGTATACGCTATTACAACAAGGTCCCGGAAAGTGTACAGGTTCTCTCTATTACCAAGTTTAAATGTTTTATTAAGCTGAAACTGTATAAAAAGGCTTATTATAGTATAAATGAATACATGGTTGATAATAACCCTTGGGAATGAGGTGATCGCTTCCAAGCAGTTTCTAAAATAAATTTTGTAAATAGTTCGTAATAATTTATATTGTAAAATTTATTTAAAAAAAAAAGTCCCGCTGGGTTTCTTGCTGGTTCTTCCCAGGACAGAGGGTTTTTTCGAACCAGTGGTAAAGTAAAAAATGACTTTCAATAAGAATTACACATGTAATGTATATTGAATAAAAAAATATTCTATTCTATTCTATTCTATTCTATGCTATACCAGTCAGTGTCATACTTGGAAATCCTATCCTCAAAGATTTTGAAATCAATTTTACTCGTGATGGTATTTTCCTTGAAAAGATTTCTTACCTTACACTACTGGCAGAAGAGAATAACACTATTTGTGATGAACATTACCCTGAAAATAAAGAAATTGCAGATAAGGTTACAAAGCTAATTAAAGAATATAAAACTAATGCTAAAAAGAAGGAAAGTAACGTTGAGATGAAGATAATACTTACCGAAGAAGACCCGATACATCAAAGTCCACGTCGATTGTCACCACTGGAAATGAAAGTTGTTGATGAACAAATAAAAGAATGGCTAGACCAAAAGATTATACGACCCAGCAAATCAGATTTTGCAAGCCCTGTAGTTCTAGCTAAAAAGAAAGATGGAACATACAGACTTTGTATAGATTATAGAAAGTTGAATAAAAGAATAGTGAAAGACCGATTCCCATTACCTCTTATAGAAGATCAGATTGACAGATTGAAGGGTGCAAAAGTTTTCACGACTTTAGATTTGAAGAACGGATTTATGCATGTGAATGTGCATGAAGAAAGCAGGAAGTTTACGGCCTTTATAACTCCGCAAGGGCAGTATGAATTCATGAAAATGCCGTTCGGTCTTTGCACGGCGCCGTCAGTATTCCAAAGATATGTCAACCATGTCTTTCAAGATCTTATTTCTGACGGTACTGTCCTTGCCTACTTGGATGATTTGATTTTACCCTCGGAGTCAGAAGAAGAAGGATTGGAGAAGCTGGTAAAAGTGTTCCAAAGAGCTGAAGAGTACGGTCTTTTATTTAACTGGAAGAAATGCCACTTCATGAAGAGGGAGATAGAATATTTAGGCTATATAATACGGAATAATGAATTACGCCCGTCAAAAGAAAAGATTTCAGCCGTATCAAGATTTAAAACCCCTCATAACATCAAGTCTTTACAGTCTTTTTTAGGACTGTCTGGTTATTTTAGAAAGTTCATCAAAAATTATTCTATAATTGCAAAACCACTTACCAATTTATTGAAGAAAGACGTTGAATTCAATTTTGATGAAGAGTGCGAAATGGCTTTCAATGAATTGAAAAGAATATTGTGTAGTTCACCTGTGTTACGGATTTATGATCCAGACCTAGCAACAGAACTACACACAGATGCTAGTGCAGAAGGTTATGGCGCCGTTCTGTTACAGAAAAGTCCTACAGATAATCAAATGCATCCAGTCTACTACATGAGCAAAAAAACGACACCCGCTGAAAGAAAGTATCACAGCTATTACTTGGAAATACTGGCGATTGTTGAAGCTGTCAAGAAATTCCGTGTCTATCTACTAGGAATTCGTTTTAAAATCATAACAGATTGCTCTGCTCTTACTAAAACATTACAGAAGAAAGACTTACCTCCACGTGTTGCTCGATGGGCTCTGCTCCTAGAAGAGTATAATTATGAGATAGAACACAGGTCAGGATCAAGACTTAAACATGCTGACGCACTAAGCCGAAACCCTGTCTGCTTGATACTTACCGAAGCTGCTGCCCGTTTGAAGAGAGCTCAAGACGACGACCCTCATATCAGTCTGTTAAAGAAAATGTTAGAAAAAGAACCCTATCAAGACTTTATTATGGAAAGAGGAATATTATGCAAAGAGAAAGATGGTACGAGACTGATTGTAGTTCCAAAGAAAATGCAGAACGAAATAATAAGGAAGAAGCATGATTATGGACATTTTGGAGTTAGAAAAACAGAAGAGCTTGTGAGTCGAGAGTATTATGTTGAGAATCTGAAGGAGAAGATTAGAAAAGTTATAGATAATTGTGTAGAATGTATTCTGATTGAACAGAAAAAGGGAAAGAAAGAAGGATTCTTACATCCACTAGACAAAGGTGATGTCCCGTTGTCGACGTATCATATTGATCATCTTGGTCCATTGACGTCTACTAATAAAAATTATAAGTACATTTTTACGGTAGTTGATGGCTTTACCAAATTTACTTGGATCTATCCTACGAAATCTTTGTCCACAGATGAAACGTTGGACAAACTGAGAGTGCAACAACAAACCTTTGGTTCCCCTCAGAGGATTATTTCCGATCGTAACGCCGCATTTACTTCAAAAGACTTTCAAGACTATTGTGAACAAGAAGGCATAACTCATTATACAATTACTACAGGACAACCCCGCGGAAACGGGCAAGTAGAAAGAATCCACCAAATCATAATAAGTGTTATAAGTAAATTGAGCGCTGATGATCCGACGAAGTGGTATAAACAAGTTTCCAAAGTGCAACGCTGTCTGAATAGTACATGGCAAAGAAGTATTGGAATGACTCCATTCGAGTTACTTTTTGGAACCAAAATGAAAGATGAGAATGAAAAAATTATGAAATTAATAGAAGAAGAAGAAGTTAAGAACTATAATGAGCAAAGGAATGAATTAAGATTAAAGGCAAAAGAGTCAATACAAAAGATGCAAGAAGAGAATGTTAAAAATTATAATAGGAAAAGAAAAAAGGCTACCGAATACAAAGTTGATGATTTAGTTGCTATTAAACGAACACAATTTACTCAAGGAAGTAAATTGTATCCTAAGTATCTAGGACCTTACGCAGTGACAGCCAAAAAGCATCATGAAAGGTACGCTGTAAGAAAAGTTGGTGAATGCGAAGGGCCCATCAACACAACAACCTCGGCTGATCTCATGAAGCCATGGGTCGATGAAGACGTAGATGAATATTCATCTGAGTCAGATGAATGATCAGGACGGCCGTGTGGGAGAAAGTTTATTTTTAATCTGTGTTTATGTATTTTTTGAAGTCATGTCATGACAGGCGGAGGTAGTCTGTGGTTACGAGGAAAAACATTGTAAAAGAGCTAAGCAGTTTTATTAAAGATTTTGTGTTTAATTCGACCATTCTTTTCTTCGACGATCCCACATATATATATATATATATATATATATATATATATATATATATATATATATATATATATATATATATGTATATATCAGTTAGCTAGCTAGCTAGCGAGCGAGTAACAAGTGCTCCGCTTAAATTAAATCCTTAAAATTTGTTTTATAGATATCTTAATCGCTAGACGTTAAATACAAAGTCTTCCTGTTCTGATTATTAAGTGAAAGTGTTTTAAAACATTTTTTTGTCATATTTTTAAATCCAACATAAAAAGACAGTGAAAACATGTTAAACTCACTAAATTAGACTATTTTTCTTTACCAGTGTATAAATCAAGTTTAGACTGATTGTGTTGTGTTTAACCTAATCATTACATAAGAAAAAGTGATAGAAAAAAGTGAAAACCAAAGTTTTATTTGCAAGAAGTCGGTTAACGTTTTGAATGTCTAAAACTTTCCATGATGATAACACTGCGCAAACCAACCAATTAGCTGAGCGCAAATCATAATTTTGAAACATAGTAATGACATTTTTGAACTGGTACAATTATTAGTAAATTGGTCAAACGGTCTAATGCGTTAGTATGAAGTCAATGTGTTGTTGGATCGAGTCCAATCGAATTCCTTAGTATAGAGATTTTTTCTTAGTTTAAATAAATTTTGGTTTTAAAAACAACAGTTCAAAATATTCATAATTTAATATGTGAATTTGACTCTGTACCTTAAAATATTTGGAACAAAAAATAATATTTGTGTGGATTGTAATAGTATAATTTAAGACACGAGCATGACGACTTTAACAACTGTTTGAACTTTTAAATAACTCGTGGTAACTAATGACTTAATATTGTTAAATCTTCCCAAACTTAAATACATTTGTTATCAGTGTAATAATAACGTCGCTGCCTGTGCTGCATTCAAACGACCGAGTCATACTTTTCGTTACTCTTAATGAACTATATCAAAATGGTAAGGAAATGTGTGAAGTGTGATAAAATAATCTCAGATAAACAATTTCTTAAATGTTTCAACTGTTTAAAGTTTCACCACTTAAACTGTGCAAACGTAACAGAAAAAACATTTAACTCAATGAAAGAGAAGAAAAGCAACAAATGGAAATGCGTAAAGTGCGCACTCTTGCTAAGAGAATGTACAAGCTCACCATTGACACCAGGGGCTGTACCTGTAAACATGATGCACACAATGAATAACTCATCAATGTCAACAGCAAGTTTGGTTAATAATTCTCACTTTCGTCCAAACACTGTTGCACTTTGCACAGAGTCTGAAAATTATCCACATACACCAAATACACCAAAAACATCGCAACAAACTAATGAACAGACATCATCAATATCACCGAAAGTGGGTAAAAATAATACACAAACACCTCAACATTTTTTTGATTTCATTACCAATCGAAACAAAAAAAGAAAAAAACATACCGAGTCTCTGCAGTTGGAGAGCTCTGTCGATGAGGATTGTTCTTGTATAGAGACTAGTAAATTAAATCGCAGCTGCCCTGAAATAAGCCCCAAAAACAGGGAGGAGTTGGGAGAACTAAGAGCTAAAATCACTTACTTAGAAAAGAAGTTGGAAAGTGCGGAAAAAGAAATAGACAATCTATCAATAGAAAACAGTTCTTTAAGAAAACAAATCATAGCCTATGAAAAGAAAACCGATACACTGGCTTATTTATGTCGCTCAACTCCAAAGATAGATAAAAACAAAAAGAAACAAAAAAAGGGAAACAAAACAAAATTAGATTACACACTTCTAAGTCAGGCCGAATGTGGGCAAAGTTTTCAACCAACACCAAGAACCAAAGAAAAAACTGTATTGAATAATGTAACACATGAAGACCATCAAAGCACAATTTTAGATAAAGAAGAGCAGATGAGCGATTTAAATTCTACACTTATGCATGAAAATAAGGATTTTAGGCTTTGCGTAATAAGCAGTAACAACAGGAATAAAGTGATACAAGCTATAGAGAATCTAGATACTGAGAATTTTGAATACTGTCATTTTATAAAACCACATTCAGGAATAATCGAGCTACTGAGTGGACTACATAGCAAATTAATAGACTACACTATGAATGACTACTGTGTTATTTTGATTGGAGAAGAAGACTTCAAAAAATCCTATAACTATACAAATCTTATAAGTAACATAAAAAACACGCTAGAAAAAATAAAGCATACTAATGTAATCTTAGCATTACCTACGTATATATGTGGTGCACCCTTGTATAACTATAAGGTAGAAATTTTCAATTCTAGTCTTCAAAATAGCATACAGAAATTTGAATATGCATACTGTTTTGACTCAAATTATGACTTAACTTTTGACATGTTTTCTCAGACAACTGGTAAACTCAATAATTTAGGAATAAAAAATATTTTTGAAAATATATCTCAATATTTTTTTCGTTTGTTCTAAAAATAAATTCGGAGGAAATCTTCCGTCTGTAAACATTGACAATAATGTACTCATAAAATTAGCTAATGATGACTTTACAGATAAAGACATATTACATAATATTATTATATATCATCAAAATGTTTGTGGTTTAAATACCAAAAAGGCTGAATTAGATGTATATTTGGAAACATTAAGTACCTCTAAGCCACAATATGTATGCATTACGGAACATTTTTTAAATAGTCATAATATTGAACTTTTTCATTTGTCTAATTATAGCATAATTTCATATAACACTAGGTCAAAAAAAACTAGAGGAGGTAGTCTTATATTAAGACTAAACGATTGTAATTTTATAGATTTAGTGGAGTGTAAAAAACTGTATAAAACACAGTATTTTGAAGTATGTGGCATTAAGGATGTTAAAACCGAATTAAACGTAATTTGTCTGTATAGGAATACACTAGATGAATTTTTCTCAGCTTTTATGGAGCAGCTTGAAACATTGTTTGAATATTTTATTAATAAGAAATGTATAATCTGTGGGGATTTTAATGTTAATCTCTTAAGTGACACTAAACAAAAGTCAGATTTTTTATCTTTATTAAAATGTTATAATTTTAGACCCCTTATTTTATCGGTTACTTTCACACGGGGTCAAGCTCAATCCTGTTTGGATAATTTCATAACAAATCTTCCAGATGAATGCATAAAAGATACTATAATAGATCAAAATGGGTTGTCAGATGGTCATGCAGCACTAATATGTAATGTTGATCTTCAAATCCAGGGAATCACGAAAAATAATAAAAATAAAACTATTACAAGAGAACAAAGAGTATTTAATGAGATGAACAATAAATTATTCAGAGAACACATATTGAAACATGAATGGCAAAATGATGGAATAAATAGTTTCATAAAAAAACTGTATGCAATTTTTGATAAGAGTTTTAAGAAAAAGGTAAAAACTATTAGAATAAGAACTAAACAAAGTTCAAGCTGGATTACAAAAGGGATAAAGGTGGCCAGCAATATGAAGCGTTTCCTTGTGCCAGCACATAGATCCATCAGTGACCAATCTATTGTTGATTATAGAAACAATTATATAAAAGTATACAGAAGGGTAATTAGGTGTGCCAAAAGGTTATCAATACAGTCACAAATAGAGAAATCGAATAACTCTGTTAAGATGATCTGGAGTGTAGTTAACAAACACAGGAAGAAAGTTCCCAATGTAAACGAGAATATATTTGTCTTAAAGCATAATGACAAATATATCGAAAGTACTCAAAAGGTTGTGGATATCTTTGCGGAAAACTTTTATCATTGCCTATCACCCTCGAGAGGTTCCATAGAACTATCAATGAAGTTTCTTGAGTTGTACATTATGTACAACCGTGCATAAATGATATGTGTTGGGATCACATAACACCTGCGGAAATATCTAAAGTTGTAAAAAGTATGGAAGACAAGAAGTCATGTGGTTGGGATGACATACCAATTTCAATATTTAAGAAAAACATAGACTTCTTAAAATCACCATTAGCGAGTTTTTACAATAAATGTTATGAAAAGGGCATTTTCCCTGATGAATTTAAGATTGCAAAAGTATTACCTGTACATAAGAAAGGTTCAAAAAATGACTCTAAAAACTACAGACCCATCTCGCTTTTACCAACAATTTCAAAAATTTTTGAAAAACTGATAAAAGTTAGATTAACTAAACATCTACAGAATAATAAAATAATAAATACACGACAATTTGGATATCAGCCAAAAATAGGAAGCAACGATGCGATAGATACATTAATTGATGATGTCATCACAAATTTAAATAATAAAAAGAAAGTGGCGGGATTATTTCTGGATTTAAGCTCTGCTTTTGATATGGTTGATCATAATATATTAATAAAAAAAACTTCAATACTACGGAATAAAGCAAAATGTACTACAGCTATTCAAGTCTTATTTAGAAAACAGACAACAATATGTTGAACTGAAGGGTATCGAGGATAAGTATGAAAAGACGTATAAATCTAAATTAGATAAAATTAATAGAGGAGTGCCACAAGGTTCCATTTTGGGACCAATCTTCTTCATCATATTTATAAATGATTTGATCCCCTTTATCTATAAGTCTCTACCGGAAGTTCATATTGTAGCTTTTGCGGATGATACAAATGCGGTAATATCGGCACAGAATACAAATGATCTCAACCATAGACTAAATAGAGCTCTTTTAACGTTTTCTCTGTGGTTTAATGCAAATAATCTTATGCTGAATGCAGAAAAAACTAAAGCTATACTATTCAAAACCACAGCGAAAACGCGAGATACCTTGAACATCAAACTACATGAAAACTGCATACCACTTGTACAATCGGTGAAATTCTTAGGTGTTTATATAGACTCGT